TCAGGCGCAGGAGCAACGCCTTTACGTGCTTTCCGAGGCACCGACAAGTCAGTCAAATTATAAGAAGCATTTGTTAAAAATCAATTTCATAATTTGGACGAAAACAATAATTTTATTAAATATCTATGCCAATGGCTTCACCGTGTTCACATTACAACTCCATTTTCTTGGGAATGAGCAGATCGGTACCAAGGTATTACTGATTTGTTTTGTATAGTTAATTGTGTAACATAATATTATAATATGATTGTAAACTGTTCTCTTTAAAAGAAGTCCTGCTGGGTTTCTTGTTGGTTCTTCCCAGTACAGAGGTACCTTTCCAAGCAGTGATAAATTAAACAGAAATACGTTCAATGAAATTTTTTGTAATCTATATAGTAAATTAAAAAAACATTTCGTTGTTTATTTACACTGCCACTATAAATTCCGTGTTAAATAATATCTATAGCCAAACAATAAATACAGGCAAGGTAACCCAGTCCAAATTAAATGGGACATTTAAATAAAGCTATTCAAGTACGGAGGATTGGAAATATGTTCAAAGATATGCAAATTAAACATAAAAATGAGGGGTGGTCAAATCGCTCAACGATGCGTAATCCGTCGCGGAAGTTTCATGCAAGAATGGTAGTCGAGAATTTATTAAAAGTAAAAAGCTGTATGTGGGCTGTTCCTTAAATATTAAAAATATGATGACTTGTTATAATGTTTTAACGCAATAGAGTACGCGCTCGCACAGAACACTTGCTCGAAATAGAATTATGCTGCAGTGTTTCGTATGCTGAGTGACGAGAATCGGAGATATTTTGACTGGTAACGAGGGACTTCAGGCGCATTCGATCTTAGTCACCCGAACATGAGTGATGACTTACTTCATATACTAAATTATGCATTTTCATTGTATTTCTTTGTAAAGGATTCAATTTATTGTCGTATTCAGCAACCTTACAGTACGTATGTATTTGAATTTATTTGTAATATTAAGGTATAATAAGAAAGAAAAAAATATTTAGGTATACCTTTAGTTTTTCAAATATATCAACAATATTTTTTACCATAATATAAATACGGTTGACCTTACAGACCCATCCTGCAACTTCCTGCTAATTTCAAATGCAAAGCGCTCCAAAGTCAACCTATTACGACGTTATTATGACGTCAAGAACTTAAAAACGTCTTAAAACTTTTTATAGAAATTCAAGAAAATCGTTGTCAAAATTTTTCGAGCAGATTTCTTTTGAACAAATGAACCGATTTTGATGCGGTTTGCGGCAAATGATGTTGTTTTTTGAGGTTAAGAGCTGATTAAATTTTGGAATCGATCGATACATTAGTTTAAAAGTTATCTCAAACATTTTTATTGAATGTTTGATCTTTGAGGTTTCTCAAAATTGGTAGATTTGATTTTGCCGAATTGACTCAAATTCACACGAAATCTAATGGCAATAGAACTCTTTCGAACGCCGTGAACCGCGGTGCGATCGGTCAAGCCGTTCAGAAGTTATGATGAGTTTACAACCCCCAGCAGCAGCAGCGTAATGCCATTTCATCTTAGTCCTAAGAAGTGACAACGCATTTGCATTTTGAGTTGAAGATAAATGTGGATGTCTATGAGCCACAGCATTCACTTACCATCAGGTGGACTGTGTGCTCGTTTGTCACCTAATGCAATAAAAACACACATACACACATACATAAGAAGGGTCATCCTCGTAAGAATACTCAAAATAGCTATCTAGGACCTCAAAACGCGAATATCTGATGAGAACTCGATTTCCTAAAACCTGGGTGAAACCAGTAACTTCCCAATTTTTGGAGAATTATAGATTTTCAAATTATTGATGTTGACAGTAAAATTGTAATTTTCTAAATGAAAAATTAACGCAGATTTTTTGAATATTATTTCAAAAAATCTGGGTTAATTGGACATTAAATTTGTCGGCAAGTACATAAAAACTATAAAAATTTTGCACCATTACAAAAAAATAAAAAGAATCAAATGCTAATATTTATTACAATATATAACAAAAAATCAAACAGTGTATACTTATAAGTATGTTAATAATAATTTTTTAAATAGGATTCTAACATGACTTTGTTTAATTTATAATTTAGTCTTAATTTTTCTTACGCCATTATTCCATGGTGAACCACTAAACTATATCGTCCCATGGGCGTCGTAAGAGGTGACATAGTGGAAAATTTAAAAAAAAATTCAATACAGTAATAAAAATACTGTGGTTTACACCTGACAAATATGGAAAATATGTATATGAGTCAAAATATGGATAATTATGATCAGCAGTAACTTGGTGCGCTGTAGTCAATAAATGAACGAAGAATGGCAACACATGTTTTCACTTCATTAATAATCTATATGTACTCTACATGAGTACATATAAGTTGTATAAGTTGCGAATAGATTTTAAAAATACTTGTCGTGAAGCACCGACGCTCCGGGAAGTCTGCAGTCTGTGAACATGTTCAAGATCGTCCCCACCATTACATCACATTTGATAAATACTACTATAGAGCATTTATTTATTTACTAGGATTATCAACAGGAATTACAACTGTGTATTATTGTTGTAATTTCTATATACATATACAGTAATCCTAATATATATATATATATATATATATATATATAATCATTTTCATAACAAATTAAGCATATTATAATTGTATTTCTTTTTATAGGTAATCACAACATGCACTGATTATTTATGTAAATGAAAGGATTATAAGAAAAACAACTTGAATTACATCATTGAATAAATAAATTCTTTAAAAAAATAGAATGATTTAACAATATTATAGATAACTTCATTATCATATTAAATTACATTAATTACATTATAGGACACAAAAACAGTTATTAATTAATTGATTCATTATTTTTAAAGAAATTGATTCATTTTGATTTGAAGGTAGATATACTATTGCAAGTAATATCGAGGCCAGAAATCTTCATTAGCAGTAATCTAACACGTTAATTCAAGACCGTCTATGACCTTTCGAGGTTGTTGATTAACTCTTTCGGAGATTGCAGAGTAATTTACCTTTTGATTCCACTGAACAAGTTTGAGCTGTGCTGAATCTTGTTTGGGGTGTACAGGCTCGATTCTTAGTCATGCCTTGCCTTACAAATTGTGTTTAATTGCCTTACAAATTGTGTTATTTATTTTACCATAATAATAATAATAATAATGGCGCAGGGAATTGACGACCCCATCGCCCGCTGACGTAACAGTTAAGTGACAAAACTGCTACGTCAACGCAGTCAGTCAGCGCCTTGCGAGAGGTGTGAGCGCCGTGCCTCGGCAGAATTTAGGGTGCAGAGGCCCGTTTGTGCTTATGGCCACACACGATACGGTGCCGGGCCTGGGCGTCCCCGGGCGTCTCTCAATAATGGATGATGGATAAGAAGATAGTGCGCAAAGAGCTGGCGCTGGACGCGGCAGCATGTGGGCCGCCAGCCGAGCGCGAGGAGCTGCACGGTCACCTAGCAGCCCTCCGCATCCATCATCCCCACCAGAAGGCTTGGTGTCGGCTGGGTCTTCTCAGACTCAGCAAGCGGCACCCGCCGCTGGTGGAGCACGTCGCATGCGTTGGTCACAAGCAATGAATGCAAACGCACTGCGGGCGTACTTTAGGGCAAAAAGGGGAAGAAACTGGATGTTTGGCGTATCGGGCTAGGATGCATCGTCTTTTTGCTGAGCTGGAGCCATCTTTAACCGTCACAGAGCAAAACCTGGCAGACCGAGTTCGGTATATCTTGCGGTCAAATATATATGATGTTGCCGAACTCGAACGGCTACGACGTGAGGCTGTTCCCTCGTCGGATGAAAATGTTATGACTGAGGATGCGGCGCCACAAATGGTAGAGCAACCCACAAACGTGGATGCCGCCGTGAATACCCCAGTTGTAGTTGATTCAAACGATGATGGAACAGTCGCCTAGGAACTGGAATTAGAGCATATGAGGAGTACATTGGAAGAGGCGATTGTGGAAACGCACAGTACTCCTCTCGAAAATCGACTGCGACTTCCCCGCATAGCCCTTAGCAAGCGGAATCGGGCTATCGTGAGGGCTCTGAACCCAATGCTGGTGACCTATTTGGAAGCCAGCCGGGACCTTTGCGAGACGGAATCAATTCTTTTTGGCGCCGTGCTGGCAGTCTGCCGTATCATAGGCGTCAAGGTTTCCACGGCTGGACGCGCTACTGACCATAGTAGCGCTATCCCAGCATGGAGAAGAAGAATTGAGGAACGTATCGCAAAGGCTAGAGCTCTCATCGGCAGACTGATATGCTTCAGATCAGGCAATAACAGGCCAAGAATTGTGCGCACCGTCAGGATGGCGTTTGCTGGGACAAATGTCAGTTTGTCCCAGCCGGATATAACGCAAAAACTGACGGAGCGCATAGATGATCTGAAGCAGAGAATCAGAGAATGAAGTTGTGGCGAGTCAGTGTGCGGGTATTACGCCCATGGACTCCGTCATAATAACGCTGGATGACGTAGCTGAGGCGGTCCGTAGGGCCCCGAACCGGAAAAGTCCGGGGCTTGACGGGCTGCATCACTACTGGATGAAGGGGTTCATGGTGTGTCACTCTGTGCTCGCCCGACAGTTTCAAGAGGCTCTCAACCAGAAGTCGCTCCCAAGCCTCTTCACTACTGGGATCACTCATTTGGTTCCTAAAGACCAGGGTACCACAGACCCGAGCAAATACCGCCCCATCACGTGTCTACCGACCATATACAAGATGCTAACATCCATTTTGAGCGCGAGAATCACTCGTCACTTGGACTCAAATCAGGTGATGTCGCGCGCTCAAAATGGATGTCGGGGTGGTGGTCGTGGAACCAAGGAACCACTCCTCATTGACGCGATCATTGGCAAAGTGGTGAAACGCAACCGTCGGAAATTCTCCGCCGCCTGAATAGACTACAGAAAGGCATTCGACTCGGTGCCCCATACATGGCTAAAGAGAGTCCTCGAGCTGTCCAAGATAGAGTGTACTGTTAGAGACTTCCTTGAGCAGTGTATGGGGCAGTGAAGTACGGTCCTTTGTCATCTGGGCGAGCGGATGATGGCTGCGGAGAACCACATAAGGATAAGAAAGGGTATCTTCCAGGGCGATTGTCTGAGTCCAATCTGGTTCTGCCTCTCTCTGAACCCTCTCAGTACCTTACTGGAGGGCTCCGGGAGGGGATTTCAGCTACGGAAAGGAGGGACAAAAGTGACCCACCTTTTCTATATGGATGACCTCAAGTTGTTCGCCTCCAGTCGCTCCCATCTTATGGAATTGCTAAACATCACTTGTGAATTTAGCAATTCCATTGGAATGGAGCTGGGGACGGATAAGTGTGCGGTCCTCCACGTTGAAAGGGGAAGGGTTGCTAACTCTGAGGGCGTAGACTTATCTATGCCCGTCAAATTAAGGACCCTTTCCGAGGCTGAAACATACCGATACCTGGGTATGTCACAAAACATCGGTATCGATGAGACTGGTATGAAACAGTCAGTTTGCGACGTGTTTTATGCACGCTTGACCAAAGTGCTTACCAGCCTTTTGTCCGGTGTGAATAAGGCACACGCATATAACGGCTGGGTCATGCCTGTCCTCATGTATACCTTTGGCATACTCGGGTGGACTCAGACTGAACTTAACGCCCTGGATAGAAAAGTCCGCACTACAATGACGTCCCATAGGATGCATCGTCCGAGATCGTCGGTAATGAGGCTGTACTTGCCGTGGAAGCATGGTGGTCGTGGCTTCTTGAGCGCGCTCACCATGCATAATCGCGAAGTGTGCAGCCTCCGTGATTACTTCCTGGCGAGATCGGATGATCCATTCAATAAGGACGTCATTTCTTGTGATAAAGGACTTACCCCCTCTATCCTTAGCCAACGAGCAATAGCAAGACCCGGCAGTGCAGAGCATTTCCGACCGGGAGACCGTATGGAAGGAGAAGGAGCTCCACGGGAGGTTCTACAAGGCTCTACATGAGCCTTTCGTAGACACAGTAGCCTCCCTCCACTGGCTACGCTTTGGTGATCTCTTCGGGGAAACCGAGGGTTTTGTCTGTGCAATACAGGATCAGGTTATTAAGACCAACAACTATCGGAGATACATCCTAAAGGATGGCACCGTCGACATCTGTCGAGCTTGTCGCCATCCCGGTGAGTCACTTAGGCATGTTATCTCCGGTTGTTCGGCGCTTTCTAACTCTGAGTACTTGCACAGGCACAACCTAGTAGCCAGAATTCTACACCAGGAGCTCGCTCTGAAATACGGTCTCGTGGATCGGAAATTGCCGTATTACAAGTACTTGCCGGAAGCCGTGCTCGAAAATGATCGCGCCAGGCTCTATTGGGACCGGGCCATCATCACAGACAGGACTATTCTTGCGAATAAGCCTGATATTGTGCTGATGGACCGGGCACAGTCAAGGATATTTTTGGTCGACATTACCATTCCGTATGACGAGAACCTCGTGAAAGCCGAAACAGACAAGCAAACAAAATATCTGGACCTGGCTCACGAGGTGACCGACATGTGGGGTGGTCTGCCGACCGAAATTTTCCTGTAGTCGTCTCTGCAAACGGGCTAATCCCAGTCAGCCTCTCGGGTCATCTGAGGCGGCTGGGACTACGTGGCGGACCGCTCCAGGTTCAAATGCAGAAGGCGGTGCTCCTCGATACCGCCCGCATCGTCCGCCGGTTTCTTTCCCTTTCCCCCTAACCCTCGGCCGTTTGGTCTCCCCTGCCGAGGGCCTCCATCTGGTTGGGCTTTTATTTATTTATGTACTTTTATATTTATTTTATGTCATTGATATTTATGTATATTTATCTTTTCATTTTCATTTATAATTATATATTTATAGCACCCAACCAGATGAGAAAACTATATTGATACCCCAAAATAATAATAATAACCTAATAACAATTTTCTAAAGCAAACATAAAACATAAAAGCAAACATAAAACAAACATAAAACTTAATCTAATATTTGCTGTTTTTTTATCTTTTGTAGATAGATCTGTTTGCCAATCGGCAAAGGCCTCCTCCAACCTCTTCCATTCTGATCTTCCACCTGCCACTGCCACTCTGTTCCACATCACTCCTACCACTTCTCTTATATCGTCGTCCCATCTTTTCTGCGGTCTGCCTCTTTTCCTTTTTCCTTCCCTGGGATACCATCTTGTCACCTTCTTACTCCATTTGTCATGACCTCTTATTGTTTGTATTTTACCATAGTGAATGATATATTTTTCTGACAAACATCATAGCTATGAAAATTTGAAATTTTAGGAAGTATACTAAATTATTTTATATACTAATGGGGTGACTAACTAGCACCCAGGCATGCGGATGCTGCGGCCTACAAACATCTATATCTATTCTCGATGAAGATTGATTCTTAATCGAGAATAGATGTAGATGTCTATGGTATTACTCGTACAAAGGCGCTAACACTCCTTAGGACTAAGATGGAATGTCTCGTTTACAGTAAAAAAGGGTCTCCGGTTCTATACATAATTACCATACGGATACAGCAACATTAAGCTACTATTATACGCTGATATCCTGTGAGAGCGTGATCCTTCCCCGGTCGAGCCGACCCACTTAGCGTAGCTTATAACTTTGAAAAAGTGATTTGTAAAAAAACCGACTTCTAAAACTAAAAACAACGAAGTAATTAGTTTAAATAGCTTCTGAAGTCAGTGGTAAGAGATAGTATATAAAAGAGAAAATAGTCCTGACTTCAAAAGCTATTGTGTGAAAATAATTCGGCTCCGTGGCGCAGTGGCTTAGCATCGAGTTGCAGCGCTGATGGCTGCGGGTTCAAATCCCGCAAGAAACAGGTATTTGTATGGCCTGTAAATAATTGTGGTAAAGGTCTGGATGTTTGTCCTTGTAAAATTTATATGTATAAATTTATACTGCCTGAACGATACTGGCCAGTAAAATACCATAGCTGGACATGGTCCTCTCGCATTGGAGTAAGGATTTGCCTCTTTTATAACAACTGGCATACGGATATACGGTCGATATACCAGACGTAGCCATCTCAACTACGCCTGGCGTAAAGATATGATATGGCGTAAGAGATAGTATCGACATCTAGCGGAAGCCATAAGGTTTTTTTTCATATTTCCTATTGTCGCCTCTAATGACTCCCAAAGGACGAAATGAGGAGAAGGAGACTCGTACGCCAACACCACACATGAAAACAAAAAAAGAATTTATACGTGGTAGAGCCACGCTGCAGCTATATTATAGTTGTTGCACGAATGGGTCGGCTCGACCGGGGAAGGACCCCCTCACGCGTAACATAGCAGCTTAATACAGCCGTGTTTCGTATGGTAAGTGTAGAGATCCGAAGAAACGATGCATACCATCTTATTTTTCAGGGGGTGAAAACGCATCTGCATTTTGATTCTTAATCGAAAATAAATGTAGATGTCTATGGGCCACAGCATCGACTTACCATCAGGTGGACGGCGTGCTCGTGCGTCACCCTTCTACACTAATATTATAAAGAGGAAAGATTTGTTTGCTTGTTTGTTTGTTTGTTTGAATTGAATAGGCTCTGAAACTACTGAACCGATTTGAAAAATTCTTTCACCATTAGAATCCTATATTATTCCTAATGAACATAGGCGATAGAACATTTTCAAAAACTTTAAGGATCCGTATGAAAACTTCGTTAATGTAACCCAAGGTGTGAAAAAAATACCAAAAAAAACCTTATATCGCGTACGCTGCGGAAACTATTGACAATAGAGCAAAGTGATGTGCTACAGTTTTATGGAGGACATCAAAATCTACATAAAAGTCTGCAATACCATATGTCTAACTATTATAGTTATCTCACAATAACTACTTTTCCATGTTAAAATATTCAATAGTAACGTCGAAAAATCCTTATATCGCGTACACTGCCAGCACCATGCGATGCGGGTGTCACTGGGGTGTGGGAGGGGAGTCTATGGGGGGGGGGGGGGGTGAGTGGACAAAATTTAAATTTTCTGTATAACGTGTATATGCCGATAGATAAAAGTACTCCATTAATTTTGCTAATTTTTTAGCTAAAATGATTGAACTAAATGAGCGAGGTGTCATATCATGTCGCGCGGCAGAGACGCGTGATATACGCGGGTGAAACCGCGGGGTACAACTAGTATTCTATAAAAAAGTAAAGGAAACAATAATTCTAATTAGATCTTTCCGGCTTTTCATCATCAACATTCCAGACTATTAAAAATCTACTGCTTAACGGAGGGCTCTTCCACAGATTGTTCTATAGGGACAATATTGTAATATTAGGGAGAGTATAGAAAAAGCTCGTTCGCCAATGATTCGAACTGCTCTGCGCTAGTTGCGATCAAATGGAAGAAGGTGGCACTGGGCACACCTTAAAATCGTTAAAAACATCACAAATATT